AAGAGATTGACTCGCTCCGTCACGAGAATAAAATAACATTAAAAAGTCGGTGCACGTGACGGAGTTGTCGGCGTGAAAGCGAGATGGCTCTTCACTTTGGTCGGCCGTGCATCGCTGGAAGGATAGGGTTATTCTCTCCTGGCCGCCTTTCATCAGTCAGTCGGTTCGCGGCGCGCCGAGTGGAGCCCTCTTGTTATTTCCATCGCCTTTTCCCATTGAAAGCGCGCAATGGCCAAGAACAGCATGCACGTTCAGTGAGTACAATTCCGTCTCGCACCTAGCAACCACCACCCAGCCTCCCTTATCGATCGGCGTGCCCCGCCCAACCCTTCCAAGCAACCCCGGCGCGAAATTTTTTTACATTGGCGCGATTTTTTTTTAATAATGCAAACGTGATTGTACTTGGTTAGTTTTTCTACCCCTGTATTTTTATTTTGTTGCTCACAATGAGATAAAAAATGAATAGAACGTGTATTTTGTTTGCGGAAAAAGCAACAAGTTGTTGGATGTGTTCCCTGCTTCCAACTAAATACACAGCAGTTTCCTGCGCAAATAGTTTGCATAATTAATTTTGCGTGTCTCTCTCCTGGCAAATTTGTAAAACGGCACTTTCGGGGTGCGCACGTCGTTGCGGTTTTTGTACATTACTGCGCCAACTAGTGCCTCTCATATCTCACAAGTTAAACTACATTTCACCCTAATGGCGTTGGTTGGGAGAAGTTTCGGCACAGATTCCTGCCTCCCGCTTGTTACATCACAAAGTGGCCTTAATGAAATTTAAATTGGCGCAAGATGCATCTGACTCTCAGATAGAGCTTTGCTGAGAGACTATCGGGCTTTTATCTCAGGCTATAATATGAGCGTTTCGATTCCCATACTGTTAAATTTCATCATCGCCGATTCTGTTTATTGTTGCTCGCGAACAGCGCGTCGAATTGTTGCCCTGCAAATTGTACACTCTCACACACAGGTGCATCAAATTCTGCACAATCGCATCTGGGCGTCAACGCAAATCTTTAAAGGCCCCAGTGATCTCATTTCCGATCAAAATCCGATCGCTGCAAGTTCATTGGATTTCCTCCAATAAATCGGCTTTTAAAATGAAATTGTATACCTTTCTTTTACAATTTTTGTTTCAAGAAAAATCTTTAATGCATAATTATTCTTTCCTCAATAGAAAAAAAGAGAAAATACATTTAAAATATATAAGCTTCTCTCAATTGAATTAAGAAGTTGAAATTTTTGGCAAAAATCATTTTTTACTTTCGTTCTTCTGGACAAAACTGTGCCCAGATGCCGCGAGTAAGAGGCGTGTTTTATCAAGAATATTACATATTATTTTTCTCCTCTTCCGAACCAAGTCTCGAGGTGTTTTTCTTCTTCAAGAGAGCGAAGAACAAAAAACTGGAGGTGGAGAGAATTTCCCGAAGGAATAAAGGTAGCAGCTCGATCTCGACCGACTCTCCCGTCTCGCTGCTTCTCTGTTGGTTCTTTGAGTGAGAACCAAGCTGGCCGTCCGGCCGGCTCCATGGTGGAGACAATTATCTCCGACCTTGAGTCAATAATATTATTCTCAAAACTCAATTCCAGAGCCCGGCAGCTCTTCTCATCGCGCTCAACGCCACGTTTACCATTTTCGTTATAGTTCCAGGTGCAGCTCTAAAAATCTCGCCTCCCAATCGCTGCTTTGAAAAGGGAGATTGTATGGGCGGAATGATCGAGTGTGCAGTGCATCTAAATTTGTATCAGCCTCTTGCTTTAGAATCAATGAATGAGGCTTTTGACCTCAGCTTTGTAGTTTTCACAAAATTGCTTAAAATTGCATTCATTTAAAATAGAGTTAGTTAGGCTTAAAATTAAATAAATAATTTGTAACCTTTTTGTTGAGATTTTAAATAAATTACTCAAATTTCTGAGTATTTCCTTTTTTTATATCATTTATATAATTTCAGTTTTTTTTTCAACCTTAACATTATATAGAATTTTGTATAAATAACAATTTAACAATTTGTAAAGAAAAAAAATCACTTTTCCTCTCTTTTTGGCGGTATTTATTTCGCGTGAGTTTCATCAGAGCTAATAAAACGCGAATTTCAAAGCTGCTTTCCGTGTTACCAAAATGCTCAGGGCTAACATGCAACGAGAAATTCGCAAAAAGTGGTCCTCAAGTGGAACCCACAAGTTGTACTTATTATTGCTCGCTTCATTTACACTTCGGCACAAAATTTCGCACTGCCCCTGCGATGGAGACAAAAATTTAGGTGCAAATTATGCAAATGAGAGGCGCTGCCCCCTATCATCAAAGGGATCACCAAAGGTCAGGGGCTGCCGTGTACGCGATGAAGTAATCACTGAGCGACTAAATTCCTTCGCCTCAGCGTCTTGAGTTTCGTTCTTTTCCTCCTCAGCTTTGACCGAGCTCAATTATGCTAATAGCAACGCTGATTAAAAGAATCATTCGATCATAAGATACGAGATACAATCTTTTGTGAAGATGAGAAAGTCTTGGCTAGCAAAAATAATAACGTATTTTAAGCATGCTCTCTGTTGCATAAAATAAGAAAATTATTAATATGAGAGATGAGGAATATTTTTGCAGGGCGATCTGGTTTCCTTTTTCTTCTTTATGTCGAGAACAAGTGGAGCGCGCAAAATGTAACAAGCTCACTTTGATTGGCCGCGCAATGGAGGAGTTCCCACACTGTCGGCGGCGTGCAATTATTATTGTAAAGAACGTTACCAGATTCACGTGCACCGCTCTATTTTTTTTTTAAACACGACGATGTGAACTAAATTAAAAATAATTTTATCAAAAAAATTAACTAAATACATAAAAAAGTTTACAAATGTAAGTTATTTTAAAATGTTTAATTTTTAGCAGTTCTAGAAAATCAGAAACATTGATTAATATTTTTATCCCCTAGAAAAAGAAGAAATTCTCTATCAAACTCTTGCATGTAAATATTCTACGCAAAAGAATGAACTTTGCTGTAGAATAGAAAACGGGTGGGTGTATAAAGCTATTATCATAAATGGAGTTGCTCTTCTCTCGCGCAGCCAATAATATTTTTTTTTCAATTCACCGCGTGCATTAGAAACGCACACGCCTATGGTTATCAATTTCAAGCAGCACGGCGTAATTATTTATCCACAGTATCTCTCGAATTTCTCGATTTGGCGGCGTGACTTTTAAATAACCCCAGCATTGTTCCGTGTTGACCCCTTGTATTCCGACTCGCTCTAGCTCGATTTCCGCGGCCACAGTGTAATAGGTGTGCACTTTATGGAAAAGGGCCGCGGGGCTGTTTTGAATGCTCTCTCGGTCGGGAATAACAATCAGCCCACGGTGAGCGCTAATTTCGGCACACTTATCAGTCATTGGGAATGCACGACGGGCACTTGGATTATTTCCAGCTGCATTTCGAGAAACAACGCGAGACGAGCCCTTTCTAATCTGAGAGACATACTCTCACATACACACAAATTGCCGTTAACGGAATCAAATAATCAAAATTGAGAATTGTGACACACATTTGATATACAAATTTGTGGTTGAAAATTGTTTTAATTCATTTGACAAAATATTAATTGTATTACAAAAATGCATCTTCATTTAAAAAAAATGCATCATTTAAGAATTTACATTTCAATTTAATCTTAATTTTGTTAATTAAGTAAATATTTAATTTGGAACTAAAAGCAAGTAGGTTCAAAGCTATCAAACTAATTTATCCTTTTTGTTGCGGAAGATGATTAGAAAAAATTAAATTTTATATTATTTATTGCTATTTTTTTAATGTTGAAAAATTTGTTCGCTTCATTAAAATAATCATCTTACAAATAAAATAGATCTAAAAAATTTAAAATTCGTTTCAACCGCTTTTATATTAAATTTAATTTCATAATGTCTTTCTGAGTTTCCACAATTTCAATCATTAATTTACCCTTTCATTTGATATTACAAAATCAAAGCTGGCGGTGCACTTGAGCTGTGCCTAACGTGGCAGAAATCGCAACAGCGACCAATGACCCATCAAAAGTCAGCGGTATGGGCCATTAGACAATAACAACGCTTTTTCCACCCAGCACCTAATAACTAACTGCACTTGCGGTCCAATCGAAAAAATCTGTTTTTTCCTTCGCAGAAAAAGCAGCCCGAGGCAGCAGTCGACCTTAATTCCAATCTGCATTTATAGCCCGCCAAACGATACAAATATAAATGAGTATTTTACCACAGAAAAAAATTCTACATTTTTGAATCTGTAACCGATATCAAGAACAAGGTTTGCCGTTGTGCTCGCGCCGTCAAGCAAACTGACGCGACCTCTCAAATTTCGAGCAGATTCAAATTCGAATGAAAAACGCAAGTGGAGGAGAGAGAAATTAAATATCTCAAGCGGTCATATTATTATGAACAACTCGTCTTATAATTATTAGTCATGCTTTATTTGACTACGGCTTGTTAAGTTACACACATTCAGATTTTTTTTTTAAACGTATGATGTTGTTATCTTGGTTTTAATTTGTAATGCAATCCACTGCTGCAGATCAAAGAAGAAAAGTCAGACGGTTTAATGAGATCTCGATTTAAATTCAGGCTCGCGACAGTCGCTCATTAAATGCAAGTACGGTGCCAAAAACAGGTTGTTCACCGTTGACAATCACGGCCGTTTACTTCCTAGGAGCACAGAGAAAGTTTCGTGCCGCCGGCCGGGTTGTCTCGGTGCAATAATCTTTTCAAATCATCGGTCAATCAACGCAAAACGATCTTTGATCATACACCAACGCCGTGCGTTACGCAACTTGTACTTTTACATGCTCAATCAGTCGCGTGACGGATTCTTAATTCTTATTCGAGCGACCGGTTAAATCTGCATTTTGATGTTTTGTAATTATTTTATGCCAGAAAAAACTGAAACTCTTTGCTAAAATTTTTAACCTTTCAAAAAAAAATTCGTTTGAAAGGTTTCAAAATTATAAAATTACCCTTCTTTTTGCAGATCAAGGAGCTACTCCGGTGAAAACAGGGGTGGCTGGGCATGTGGCAACTGGTTCGAGTTTCTGCTCGTGGTAGTGGTCGCCAGCATCCTCCTCTTGGGCGCCCTTGGTCTGGTCATCTTCTGGGTCTTCTACTACCGCAATGGAGTCGGTTGGCTTGACGAACCGGAACTGCTCTTCAACTACCACCCTATTCTCATGATAGGCGGATTTATCACCCTTTCTGGATTCTGTAAGTAATATATAAAGACAAATTATAATAAATGAAAACAGAAAAATATAATAGATAAAAAATTTTAATATTGAATAAAATGGATAAGTTCAATTTTATATAAATTTTTTGTTTCAAGGCAGTTTGAAGGTATTATTTTTTATTCCTTATTAATTTTACTTTCCCAGATTTTTAATTCCTTCAATAATTCTTTGAATTTCTTAGCGGTGCTGATGTACAGGATCTGCCGCTGCTGTCGCCGAATTTACGTAAAACTGCTGCACACCTTCTTCCACCTGCTGGCCATGCCCTGCATTGCTCTCGGCTTCATTGCTGTCCTTGAAAGTCACAACAGGGCCACTCCGGAACCGATTCCCAACTTCTACAGTCTGCACTCATGGATGGGCTTTGTCACTATGGGACTTTTTGCTCTGCAGGTATTTAATTTAAAGATTTCTTAAATATATTTTCTAATAAGTTGTGTTTTAGTTTGTCGTTGGATTCTTCAGCTTCTTGGTGCTGTTGTGCTGCGAAAGCGCAACCGCTTCCTTCAGAGCCGCGCTGGTGCCAATCCACGCCACCTTCGGCATCACAACCTTCCTGCTGGCTGTGGCTACCTGCCTCACTGGTCTCACCGAGAAAGTCATCTTCACACTCAAGTAACCTCAAACTTTTTGCTCTCTTTTTTATTCTTATTGCTTCCTATCATGTTTTTATTTTTATTGTTGATTTGAGAAAAGCATGTTCAATGGATGTGCGTGAATAAAGAGCTGTGCATTTTCTACCTTTTTTGTCACCTGCCGAGAACAATTGATGTGGCGGGTCAGTTTTTGTGAACCACCGTTCAGGTTGACTGGTTCCGAGAATTTACAGCTCTTTGGTCAATATGTGAGCATGCTTGTGTGCATTTTCAGGAGCGAATACTCTGGCCTGCCTGAGGAGGGCATCGTGGTGAACGCGCTGGCCATGGTGCTTGTGGCGATTGCCATCTTCGTCAGCTACGCCCTTGCCAGGCATGAATTCAAGTACAAGAGCCACATGCTCGTCTCCATCCAGAGTGACCTGTAGACCGCAAAAGTAAATAACCCCAATGTTAATTGATTTCTCTCTCTAGCTGTATGTATATTATATACTATGCTTTATTGGTGGAGCGCCTTTCTCACTTCTGCCGGCTGCTGGTGATGGGAGAAAAACTTTCCTGTATTGAACTTTTATATATAAAAGTTCTATATATAGAAAACTCTTTCTGCACAAACGATTGCTTTTTTTAACTTTTATTCCATACAAGCTCTGTTTTCCTGACTTTTTAAATTAATTTCTGCTATTGTCTAAAACACTTCAAGAAAAGTCTCTCATACAAATATTAACGAAAATCTGCGCCATGAACATATTCCATACTAACCAAATTTTCTCTGTAAATATTTGTTTTTAACAAATTAAAAGACGCTTTTTCAGGCTCATTTCTAATTTCTTCTTTTTTTTTCTTCGCAGAGAATCATACTCCGAATTTCCTCTTGAGGGAATAGTGGTGAACACCCTGGCCGTGGTTTTGGTGGCGCTGGCCATCCTGCTGTCTTACGCTGTTCGCCGAGATCTGCCAATCGGCTCAACACTCAAAGTGGCAGAGATCAAATAATTTTAAATCATCTCTAAAGAGTAACATCAACACGCACAAATAACAACAAATATTATTTATGTCTCGATCAATTAAGTTTTCGTTGAACTTTTTCTTAGCTCGTCACCGTACAAACCACTCTCAAGCCCTCTCTATTCCTCTCAAAAGGTGTACATATTAATTTTTATGTGTTAGTAGTCTGGTTTTATTGTAATTTTAAAAATAAGCATGACCAAGAAAGCCAGAAATTGATTGCAAGTTTTATGTATGTTGATGGAATCGCAAAAATTATTGGGACTCGATGCTGCTTGATGGATATATCACCAGCTCCCTGAAGTCTCTAATGTAGGCAAAGTGGAAAGACTGAAGATGGCATGGTATTATGGAGTTTTATAGTGCTCTCATTTGTAATCACTCTGCGACCTGTTTGTTCTTTTCACCTGCTGACAAAGCAAAACCAAGCAATCATTCAACTGTGTTCAGAAAGCTAAGCGCAAGAAATGATGAGTTATACACAGCACTGTGCTCAAATCCTCATTATGTCAAAAGATTTACTTTTGAATTGCTTATAATGCAGAATCTTAAAAATCCTTTTACACCATTGTTATGGACCACAATTTCTATTTGTATCAATTTTTAACTCTTTGATCTTTTTGGACATTTAAAAATTTAATCACATTTTTCTAACCTTATAACAACACCTGAATTCTTTGGAAATGACTGGGCGCTTTGGATCTGTTGAGCTATTATTATATAGTTGCATTATGAAACAAGTGTAGTGTAATGACCACTTCTATAAGAATGGAGTTTAATACTCTTTAAATATACAAAATAATTATTACGATCAATATATATTGGTGTAAAAGAAACATGTTCTCTATTTACTGTTGTTAGCCATTCCAGATTTTAGTTGAACAACATTCAACTTCAGTAGAGCTATAGGCATTTGTTAGATATTAAATAATTTATTTCATCTCACGAGGCCGTGTTCTGTCCCAACGACCATGAATTGGCGGTGTTATTTTATCAATACATCATTTGCAGCCTTAGTTTTTCTTCAGCGTGTAGTTGAATTTATTAAAATTATGAGAATATAGGTTGATACTCGTTTAATTAAATTAAAATAATAAATGTGAATTTTTTCATACACTAATAATACACTTGCATTTAAAACGAGCTGATTGAAGACAAAGAATTACAATGTTACATGTACCTTAAAGCTACCACTTTATGATAAAATAAACCCCAACACAATCATGGAAAATGCCAATTTTGAAACTCTTTGAAAAAGAAAGGATTTGGAATGTTGTTAATGCAGCCGACCCATACGACTGATACTCAGTGCAACTGGTTGAATGTCTTGAGGTCCAATTTTGTACATGCAAAAATGTAGATTTCCGTTTTCTATGAATCTTTTTGGATACAGAAAGTAAAATAGTAAACATTTGTGCTACACTCAAACAACATATTGTTTTATTTATTGTTGTGAAAACCCAATATTGAATAGTTTGACAGAATGGTCACTTGAACAAGATGCGAGACGCAGAACATTTTCAGAAGAGCACTCTTTTGGCTGAAACGCCAAGCGGCGAACTGCTTTGTGATGCCCAGCTCTGAGGAAAATTATGCACACAATTAATTTCCTATTTTAAAAACAAATCACAAAACCACTTACGATTGGCTCAAACTGCAGAGGCACGTCCAATTATCTCCAAAGGGCTTCCACTCAAAAATGGTAATCGTTCCATTTTCACAGCCAACAGCAACAATGTAGCCAAACGAATTTGACCAAAAATCAACTGAAGTCACTGCCTGGTCCAAATTCAGCTGGTCGCCTATGGGCTTGAATTCATTGGCAGGCTCCCACACAACAACTCGTCCTTCTCGAGAGCCAGTGACGAAAAAATTACTATCTATAGACCAGCTGCATGACCAAATCACTCTTGTGTGCACAGAATTCTTTTTGTCTGTTGAAAACTCCAGGTTGAAGGGAGCAGTTTCTAAAAAAAGCAATTTAAGCTTCTTGCTGAAGAATTTAAAGGAATATCCTACCATCATTTGTAAATTTATAAACACTCAAACATCTGTCCCTTGAGACTGCTAACAAGTGAGAGTCGTCTGGGGAGAATTCAAGTTGAGTCACAGTAAGGTCATGGTAGAACAGTTTTTGAACTTCTCTCCAGGTATCAGTGTCCCTACAGGCAAGAAATTAAATTATTTAAATTTTAAATTATATATTTAAAAAAACCCTCACCATATAATAATGAAAGCATGGTCCTTAAGCTTGGCGCGACAAGCCGACGCCAAATATTTTCCAGAGTGACTTGCAGTTATGCAATGTAGTTCAAATCCATGGCCATAAAGTTTCCTTTCCTCGGGCCACAGAGTGGCTTTCCATAAAATTTCCTCTCGAATTGGAACTATCAATTTAAAGGTAAATAGTCTTGCTCGAAAAACTAGAGCCTATTTTCTTGTTTTACCTGTGACATTTTCTACATCCTCAAAAACAAGAGCTTGACTTGATTCCGAGGCATCGCTGACGCTCAAATTGGAAAGATTGAGCTCCTGCTGGGCTGCCACATTGGAAATCTGTCCTTTAACTAAAACATTTTTAAAATAAATAATAAGAAGAATCAAGAAGAATTTATCTCTTACCTTTGAGTTCAACTCCACACAAGGTTTTGAGGCAGGAGAGAAATTGTTTGGACGTTTTGAATATTCTGATAACTTTCTCATCAGCACCCGATGCAAAAACGCTTCTCGATATTGAGGTTATGCAATTCACGTCGTATCCGTGGACTTGAGGTCTTCCGAGTTCGAACCAAACCTCCTTCAGACAAGATTATAATTAAGAACCCATGCTCCGATAAATTTTTGATTTACTCACATCACTTTGATTTTTCAACTGAGCATGAATCCTTGAGGTTTGATCTGCACTGCAGGAATAAAAGAACTTGCCGTCCGGTTCCCAACACAAATCAGATACCTCCCCAAAATGACCTCCGCCGACAGTGTAAGAATTTTTCCAAGAACTGTCCACCTGTTAAAATTTAAACTAAAAATTTTGTCATCATGCTTAAGTAGGGTTTAATCACCTTGACCCAAATATGCAATGCACCATGCAGACTGTGGGCCAAAATGGAGTTGCCACTTGGATCCCAAACACAACCTAGAATTCCTAAAGAATCTTCCTTCAAAATTCCAAGGCGGGTTGGCGTCCACAAATCAACATCTGAGCTTTTTGACCAAACACAGATAGTTCCGTCCGTAGAGGAGCTCAAGATTTCATAACCAAAATTATCTAAAGATAAATGTTAGTGATAGATTTATTTTATGTATTTTATAAAATATTATTTGTGAGGAGAAACCTGGAGACTTTTTACAACTCCAAGAGACAGACTGCACCCACGAGTTGTGACAAGTGAGGATACTTTCGAGACTTTGGGAATATTTTTTATCTTCAACGGCAAAAATCCTTTCCTCCACTTGGATTTCCTCATCAGGCGCCAGTTCTGTGAGCTTTTTAGGCAAGCGAGTGCACAAAGAGATTTTCCAAATGCGGACAAAAGTGTCTTGCGATCCACTGCAAATAAAAAGGTCTCCGTTTTCTGGAAAACAAGCCCTATATAGAAAATTCTAACTGCAATCAAAAGTGTAAAACAAACCTGTCGAAACCGAGTCGAGACAAGTGATCCAATCCTCGTGACCTACCAAACTATCCTTCTTGATAAACTGGCCATTTTCAAACGAAAACAGACCAACCTTGAAGTCGTCCTGGGCACAAGCCAAGATTAAATTTTTTCTCCCGCCGGGCAAGAAGCAGAGGTGGACGTCGAGGCAAAAACCAGAGCCAGCTTTTAAGGTTTGGATGCATTCTGTGTCTGAAACGCAAAAGAAATTTCAATTTTGGGAGCGAAAACGACCTTGATTATGTTACCAATAGGGTCTGAATTCTGCGCTGTGATAGATAAAGGCACAGTCCAGATTTTAACAGAAAGGTCTGTAGATGTTGTGGCCACTAACAGGTGGCCGTCCTTTTCAATGGCGTGAGATACGGTGACTGGCCCTGTATGACCTTTGAGAATGGCCACGGGTCGGAGTCCAAGCTGGGAGTCATCTGTCCAAACCACGGCCAGTTTGTCACTTGAGGTTGAGAGCAGAAAGGTCCCTTGGCTCGTGGCAATGCATCGGACACTTCGGACTTCATTGGTGTGGCTTAAAGCTGTGTGAATAACTCGCAGCTTTTCCTAGAAACAGAAAAACATTAATAAGTAAATACACAGGTTTTAAGTTCTAATAAATATAATAAGCTTTTTATGTTCATTCTGACTCTTGTTCAAAAAAGAACATAATTTAATAAACAGAAACTCACGTGGTTGTAGATGGCAATTGAATTGCTTGAGCCGTAAAATACCAAATTCTGGAGGCCCCAGGCAAGACAGTGTGGACTGCGGTTGCAGCCGCACGAAATATAGCAATTTTCGGCGCTATGCACCTTCATCTTGGCACAGAAATTCCAACGAAAATGATATAACAAGTTAAATTCTGCACACCTGACCACGCTGCAGGAGCGTGAAAATGAAAATGAAGTAAACAAAGGGGCGGGGCGCTAGCGGAGGCAGCCTATTGGTGGACTTTCAATGACGTCAATGGTGAGCTGAGTGAAGTGAGCTCGGCGAACGTTTGATCACTTCTTGCTCATTCTTGTTCCTAGCCGTTCTTGGTGGAGCCGATCAAGCGCATGGTCAAACGACGTTCTCGTCGTTCTCCCACCGGTAGACATAGACACACGGCGTTCTCACGCACCCGCGCTGATTTGCGATTTCTTTCTATTTAATCTATAAAAATCTATTTCTCTATTTTCTTGCCTTTGCCATAGACCTAATAATTTAAATCAACGGCCTAAGCCTGAGTATATAGCAGGTTTATAGGTGTGGGTGCAGACTTTTAATTTTTTTTTTTAAATTAAATCAATGAAAAAAATATTATTATTTTGTCATTAAAAAGAAATTATATTCCCCAATTCATTGCAATGAAAATATTAAAATGCGTATGTTGATTCAGATTAAAAAGAAATTGATTACTCAATTGGAAAAAAAACTGTTGCTGCTCACTTTTTGCATTTTTAAATACATAACCGATTTACATCGAATTTTATTATTATAGTACAATAGAGTGGCGGAATGAAATTATTATTTTACGATGGAATTATGTGCACAGCTTAATTTTAATATAATATTTTCTATTGAGGTTAAACAAAATTTCTAATAATAGAAAATTATAAAATTATGTACAGTGTACATCAGATTTATCGTTTTATCACTATTTTTATTTTAAAATTTTTTACTGAATACAAGGAAAATAATTTACTCTGATCACATTTTAGGGCTTTTGGTATCATGTAGAAAAAATTTTCCGATTAAAAATATTTTTTAATTGTGGTCTCAGCTGGTTCGCAGTATTAATGTTTTTTTTTTCAAAGTGTATGAAAGTCGTCGATATGCCCAATTTTTCATTAAACTTTATTATCATTTATTTTCTTGTTATTCTTTTTATGGTAAAGTATTATGTGGTTATTCTAGTGTGTCATAAACATCGCAAATTGGTTATTGATTTTTAATTATTTTAAATACCTTAATGGGGCTAGCGGGGGCTAGTGCGGGAATAATCTATAACTTAATGCATTTTTTTTCTCAAAGTTAATTATTTTTTTGAATTATTTGTCCAAATTGTTTTGTTTACATTTAATTGTTGGAAAAAAAAAGGAATTGTAGAACAAAACGGCACCACCACTAGCAAGAATTTTGCTAAAACTTTTAAGATCCAAAAGACCCCATCCGCGGCAGTAGGCCTTGGTTGACTAAGTTTTTGTTTTTATCTCGTAACAAAAATTCTGCCAAAGGTAGGCCGTAGGCCTTGCAGAGGGTTTGAAAGCAGTTTCACTAAACATTAATATAGTTACAAATATAGTAAAGTCAATAATTTCTATTATTTTGATCCAAAACCTGGCGTGTAGAAAGTTGCATTATTTTAAATTTCTTCTTTAGCGGGACTTGACACCTCTGTGGCCGCGGTTTCACGTTCGGGGTTTGAAAGGGCGAGAGAGTAGCACACGGGGGTGGGTAGGCGGCTGCCAGGGTCGGAGGAACGCGGCGGCGGGTGGCGCCGGGTCGGTGCGGCGGGCAATCTGCACATGAGCTGACGGGATTGCAGCAGGTGCCGGTCGGCAGGCAGGCAATCTGGGGTGGCTAAGGCAGGCGTGAGGGGAGCAAGGGGTGGGCCGCCGCCGCCAAGAGAGAGAGACTCGGGCCGGCGCAGAGAGCTGCGGGCCGCGAGCTGTGGCCGCCGCCGCCGGATCAGACGGGCGCTGGAGGTCGATATCGAAGGCAGCAGAGCACCACCACCTCTCAGTCAGAGCAAGAAGTCTGCAAAGGGCCTCCTCAGGATCATGGCGCCCACAGATGCGGCCTCGTGAGCGCGCCCCAGCATGCTGTTGTTGTGGCTGCTCTTAGCCTCGGCGTGGGGCTCCGTCTTCAAAAGAGGTCAGTTTCTTTTATTATTAATTTTTTTGTTCTATAAAAATCTACCAGCACATTTTAATTTTTTTATTTTTAAGTTTAAAAAAAAATTGTATTAAGTCCCTGACAATGAGATTTGAACAAAATAATTAACTTATATATTTATTATTTTTTTTTAATAATTTCTTTATAAGTAATTTCAAGTTTTTATAAGGAGAAATCCAGTCGATGTGAAAATAGTAATTGAAGATTTTGACAGCTTTTGATGGAAATTTTGATTGGCAAAATTTGATGTCTCTCTATAAAGTGCGCGGTGTAAATCTCGGTGAGCCGCACTTCTTTGCTCTCCGCGAGGCCGGGTGGAGGGTTGGGCGATGAAATTACGTAGTTTGGAGTTGAATTGCCCAAAACGCCATAAAAGATGAATTTGCGATGGTTCTTGTTGTTGTTGAAACTTTTCGGGAAATTGAGCGCCTCGCTCGCGTTAAAATTTATGCGCCGAGTCTGCAGCGCGGCAGTAACTTGTTTCGAGTGTCTTGAGCGATAGTTTGGCCCAAGTTTCTTTGCACTTTTTGCGCGCGTTAAGCTGACTCGTAAAAACTTCGCACGCCGCGCGTGGATGGGAAAGCAGTTGGATTTCGTAATTAATTTCAAAACTTGCCCATGTAATAATTCTTGGGGGCAAAAGCAGTTCATCCCCTGAGAGAAGTGGGGCGCCTCAAAAATTTATGACAATGCTGAGTTTTTAGATTTGTTCAGAACAAACATCAGACATCTCTAGTGTGTTATGTTCAAATAATTTTAAAGTATGAATTTAAAATTGTATAACTTTTCTTTGTATCTTATATTTTCTCATTAATAATTAATACAATAATGTTGAATCCTGATATTTCAATTTTCTATTAAATATTGAGGAAAATTTCAAAAAATTTCGTCGTCGATTCTATCCATTTTATAGTTCTCAATAACATTACAAAACAGTCATTGACAATTATATAACAAGAAAAAAATTAAAATCACATAAATTATAAAAAAAAAAAAAAAATACAATCATCTTTTAGGAAGGTATCTGTAGGGATCATCCTTGTCTCTTAACCAATTGTTAAGGGCTCTCTATTATTGAGAGAATGCGACTGCAAAATCCCATTATTTCTCTGTTTTTATCAAATCAGGTCCAGCATATTTTCGCACTTTCCGCGGGTTGTTGCGCGAGCTGGTGAGGAAGAAAGCAAGTGTGCGGCGGCTGGCTGGCTGCTGGTTCGCATGGCAAACCTCCAAAAATGATGCAAAAATTTCGCCGAGATTTATTGAGTGACGCAGTGAGCGTAAAGATTATCAGCAGGCCAAAAAGTAAAAGTCAGCCTGCCGCTACACACCGCGCCGCCATGCGAATTTTTGCTTTTTTTCAAAGAGTTAACGAGGCCGTGAAAAATCTTTCAATGAAGCGGAAGCGAAAAATTTTTCCCGCCTCCGCCACCAGTGCTGCCGATATAATAAATTCGGCGGTCTTACGAGAAAAGACCAAGACATTACCATTAATTGGCCGTTTTGAGGAGCTCGCAGAGGAGAAAAAAGTTTGGGGCTAAGTGGCGCGCGCAATAAAAAATACATGCACATTCCCGAGACCAGAAACGGGCAATTCTCCATGCAAATTGTCCGCAGCGAGAAAAAAGCAAAGGCGTCGTTGGCAAAAACCGTACTTTCCGCTATCTCCATTCTGTCAAATGGTATCTGAAATCACCCGTACTAAAAATAAGAATAAGTTTTAATAGATTAAATTGTTCTATTATTATAAAGACAAGCACGTATATCAAAGTGTCAAAGTATTTGTATATTTATAAGTAACAATTTGTTAATGTTTTAAAATTAAAATGAAAAAAAAATAGTACTTGTGACTAATCGCCTTGACGTGGAATTTTTAAATTCTCGAAAAAAAGTGTTTTATTAGATTAAAGGTTAAAACTTGAATGTTTTTCTCATTTCCTTAAAATCTTTTGTAGCGGAAAAGAAGTCTTAAACTAAACTTCCCTAACAATTCTCCCGCCATTGCGAGTGTGACATTTTACATACTTGTCTCTCTGTGTGTTTGCACTTGAACGTGAGCTTTTTTACGGTGTTGGCACGGTGCTGTTTTGTGCACGTCGTGCTCGGAGCTTCTCTCTCGGTCGGGCTCGAGTGGGAAATCGCGGAAAAGCTGGCCGCCTTATTACTTTTCCCTCCGGCGTAGCATCTGCAAAAATAGTAGTAAAAATGGTTTGCGGCGGTGGCGGGCGGGGAAATCCGCAAGCCACGGAGGCGAAATTTATTGACGACATGCGAGCATCTTAAATAAAAAGAGAGAGAAAAATCGCCGACGCCGCCGCCGACACTGCCGAGCTACAATGGAAAGCACTTAGGCCCGGCCCTGTTATATCTTCCTGCTGACAAATTCCGTCTTTCGGGTTAAACTAAGCCAATAAAGGCCGACGTGCGTCTTCATTTGGCCCGAAACCGCGGCGTGACCACCGAGTGAAAATTTGTCTCGACAAACAGCGAAATTTGGCAAAGTGGGCCACCAGGTTATTATTTAATTTTATTTTGGTACCGATGAGAGCACAGGGGTGCTTGCGTTTGTGGGTCGGTCGGAATCTGTGTACTCACCCGCCGGGCATAATATCAAATATGCAGAAGAAGCAGCGGTCTCTCCCTCATGCCGCCGCCTCCCTGGAAGATGTAATTCTCAGATTATTGCCATCCCGCGGCCGCAAAAACGAGAGATGGAGCAATAACTTTCCAATATCATTTCCAACCAGTTGGCTTGTGAGTATCATCGGCGAACGGAATTTATATTTTTGAGATGTATCAGCACGCCTTATTCCCTTTGCCCTGTGCTGAAGATCAAATACGAGAATGGCGGAGGAAAATTTATTTTTATTGCAAATCACATCAAATCGAGTTATGGTGCATATAATGAAAGAATTGCAATTTTTTTAGGATTAATCTAAAAAAAAATTAAAAATTGAATAAAAGAAAAGAATTTCCTATATATTCTTCTAATTTCTAAAATTCTAATCGATTTCTTCACAAGAACTTGCCTGATTGCAGACATTTATCTTCCAAAAGTAAAAGTTCGTGCTGAATCAGAGGTGAAAAGTTTTCGCGTGCAGTAGTTTGAATGAAAACAGCCGTACCTGCTTTTCACTCTCCACTTTAAAACAGGTGGTGTCTTTTGCACACCGAATAAGCAAGCAACAGCGAATTTCTCGCATGAATAATAAATAAAATTCCTTGGGAGAAGCGGCCTTTGTGTTTTCTCATGAGTTGCTGCCTGCGACAAGTGTCCGATAAATTAATTATTAAGATTTCGTGTCTGGCCCCTTCGCTCTCCCCTGCGAGCGGCAACACGCGCCGCCCAAGGCACTTCATTGAGATTTAAATTGGCCCACAACTTTTATGATGTGAACTCACCTGGCTCGATCTTCGTTGTCGACAAGTAAAATTTCGGCCGGCACGCGAGCCCAAAACAAATTTCCCTCGTCTCGCTCTCTCGTCCATTGCTTAATAATGGTAATTACGGTGGGGCGCGGGAGCATTTTAAAGTTGGCCAGCTGTTCTTTACACAAGATTAGACATACCGAGTTGTCGGGCGATCATAACGGGGCAGTGAAAAAGCTAGGAAATGAAACAGAAGCAGAGTATGAAATAAGATTTGAAACTAAAATAAGGAAAGTTTTGTCTTTTTATCATGTTACTTCACGTCAATGATTCAGAAAATTTTTAAGGAAATGGCTTAAGGATTATAAATTTTATTTAATATCAAAAAATGATTTCTCATGGTTATAGATATAATCGGTTTAAATCTATTTTTATTTTAAGGATACTTCTTGAAAGAATTTATTTTAAATTATTTATATTAATTAAGTAGCAATACAATTTTAAAATTTTCTAGCTGGTGGAGTACTTTTTAATTAAAAAAAATATAACGTTTGTTTGACATACAAATTTTGAATCGTGTAAAAAAAATTATAAATGAGTGGCCTGTTCTTCTATTATTATAAGGAATTCGTCAAAATTATTTTTGTTCTCCCAATGATCTTGGAAAAAGGCAACAGGCGTAGGAAAAAAGAATGCGGCCTGGCCAACGTGGAATTTCGCACTGCCCGTCGCCATTGTGTGATCAATAAATAACTCCATGGACAAGAAGTGGAATAGACAAAGCACGCACGCAAGCCACAAAATTATTTCCACAGGCAAGAACGTGTGCGGTCGACGAAGGCAAACGACACTTTTCACTTTAAGTTCTCGTGCGCTGAACGTAAAACGAGCCGTTCAAATTCGGAACCAAGTATGTTTTCCAAGCGAATATTATTACTGCACCCGGGCAAGAAGTTTTAATTGACGTCGATTGGAGAGGCATCGCAAGTGCGATCGCTCGAAAATTTCGAGACGAACGAGTCGTTGAAAAAATATGATTGATTCTGGTGCTGGGAAGAAAACTAACTTGCTCTCTTCCTCGCTCCACTTATTTGCTTTTTCTGCTACTTGGGCCGCAAGCGCAAAAAAGGGAGGAAATCAAATTACCCCGAAGAAGAAGATGAAGCTCCAGCAGTAATTTATTAAAAACTAACTTATATTGCACTTGTTCCGCTTTGATCAGCGTGCTGCTCTTTGATTTTCCACCCGAAGCCAATCTTTCGAATGGCTTCATTAGGGGGAAAAAACAAAAATGAAGAGAAAAATTTCAAAGAGGAGAAAAAATATCAAAAAGGCTAAAATAGAAATTCAAAATTTTTCCTTCATGTTTGCTCAGATTCACTCAGATTTATTTTTATTTCAGATATCAAAATTGATATTAAAAAAATTAATTGACAACCTGTCGACACGAATTTATTTTAAAAGAAAATATAGAGTTATTGAGATCGATTGTTTTAGTTTCGCAAAAACAAAGTGCTGTAAAAAATTTACCTTTTACCGGACTTGGCAAGATCGATCATCATCCCCCTTGCTGAAAGGGGTGCCTAAGTTATTATTTCGCCCGTCTGAAA